GCAGATTCTAGGCGATCGTTGGTGAGCTAGCTACAATTGGGCTACAGATCCCCGGTGATGTAATTTCACCAATAATGGTTACGGCTGAATGAGTGGAAAGAATCTGGCCAAGAATCACCACATAAAAGAGCAGAGATGAGACTCGTGGACTCAGTTGGTGTACGCATTGGGTTGTGAACCTCCATTCCACCCTGGTAATCAAATAATTAAGAGATAAGTTTCTTTTTTGGATTAATAGAGTGTAAAAAGAAAATTTATGTGAACAACCTAGAAATCGTTTCTTTTGGAAAATGCTCCAATGTAGGTTTGGCTAGAGCACTTCTAACGCTCCAGCCAAGCGTTAGAAGACCACAAAGAGAAACAGAAAGAGAGAGAGAGAGAGAGAGAGAGAGAGAGAGAGAGGAAGGTCACCCTTCCCATGGAATCAGAAAACAATGCAGAATGAGTCAATCTTGAGAACGACGACCTTCGTAATGCGAACAATTAAAAAAAAAACACTATTTATTTGCTCCGCGGAAGGACACCTAAAGGCTATCCAACTCCCAATGGGAATATCTTTTAATGATTTTATATGGTTTACTCACGAAGAGAATTTTATTTATAACTCAGGCAACTAGGAAACGACCCTCCTAGAGACAGGTCCACATTATTTCAATCAATTGTGAAACCAGGTGATTTTGCCCAACTCTGGCATTTTCTTACTCCTAGATTGAGAGGTCGGCAATATCTCTCCGGGGTTTAATTACGTCAATTAATGACTACATCAACCGTTCTTTAATGCATTTACCTACATGGGAAAGAAAACCGTAAGGCCGGGTAGCTCTTTGCGAGATGGGGACTGAAACCATCAGGATCAGAGGCCTATCCATTATCCGTCTACTCATATTCCAACAGCTACAGTTATGACGAGTTAAGTCGACGTGATGAAAAGTAGAGCACAAGTCTTCGGGATCGCTGTTTAAGTTATTAGGTCATTTAATTCGAAAGCAATTGATAGTGATTATAACAACCTTATATTTTAATACCCATATTACTTCACACTGATTTTTATTATAGTATCTGTTTACGGACAGAACCAAAGAATAATCACTTGTTCTGATACTATGTTGATTCATTGAACCATCTAATTCAACATCTATCTACAATGGAGAAAACCCAACTTTATGACAACGTTTTTCTTTTTTGTACGAACTGAGATAAATATTCAAATGATTTCGAACTCACTCTTCAGCATGGTAAGACATTTTTTTTAATCGGTGAATGAACACAAAAGGTTAACCGTATATCACTAGTGATTTGATCGTTCTTTCTACTTCAACTCGAGGCATTAAGGGATTCATTTTCGGTAGATTCGAAAATTTGGCATATCCATGGACGTGAAATTGATCATTATGTATATAACCCCATATTTATAAATAATCACTCAGTGAACCTATGATTTCCATTTGATTCCAAATGGGCATGGCGACAAAAATTATTGTGAAGGTGACTTTTAATAGTTCCTAGAGTTCATGCTAAATTGGAACTTGTTTTCATTCCTCTTGATATCAATGTAGCGTAATCTAGTTATTAGTGTTGCCTTATAATAATTCTAAATGATATGGTCCATAGTTGTTTCAATAAATGACCTTGGGTTGTTTTTGTATCATTATTTCACTAAAGTTTTTTGAGTAAGTACAGACCTTTAAGTCAAAACTGAGCTTGCTTACCACCCTAACAACTAGTTAATTATATTGTTATAGTTTCACATGGATTAGTTTCTTTACTAATTTACTAGGAATTCGGAATTAGATGCCGAACTACCCAAACAAATGCATATTCTATCTTCATAAAGCTGTCGTTTTTCCTAACATCTTTATATTTTCCCAAAATCGCCATGTTTAATAACATAATTATCCTTTTTCGGACTAAAAATTCAACGAAAAATAAAAAAAATCTCATCATTCCAGAAATCTGCGACAAATCCACATAACGGACTTTTAAAACGGAGCCTTCAAGATAACAACTCCAGCCCAGCCGGGGACGCTCATAACTTGTAAAAGACTCGTCGTCTGCTCAGGTGACTCTTGGAAAAGAGAAAGCACGGATTCGTAGTTCCCCGTGCGAGGCTTGTCAGGGTTCGGTGCACATGGAGATGAGATATGGGGGGGACGGGGGTAGGAGAGGAGAGAGAGAGAGTCCTGTGTATGCATTTGTCTTCTTCTTATCAGTTGAATACTATCTGGGATTCTGAAATGCAACTGCAGAGGTCGCCCATCCCTTCCTTGGAAGCGTCCCTCCCTCCTCTGCCTTCTTTTTACCCCAACATTGTGCGGGCCACAGACACATCAAACGGTGCACTTCTGAGTAGCAGGATCTTACCATACATGCCCAGTGGAAATAATGTGATAAGCTTAGGTCAGAGAGAAGCCTTGGGTACGTCGAGAAATCTCCTCCCCCTCCCCCCGAGGCATTTCGTGGAACACCGTTATTGGGATAGATTTCGCGGAACAGGCGTAAAGAGCGGCAACTGGCGACGGCCACCTGGTGACGGCAGTTCATTCTGGGAAGCATCTGGTGAAGAAATGGGAGAGGAATGAACACGTGAGGTCCGGAAGAGGCGAGCGATGGCCGGAACGTGATGATCTTCCCCGTGTGGTCCTTTCGTCCACCAAGAAGGTGAGAAAATGTGAAAGATGGGGGCTGTGGAGCATGGAGGCTTCCTTGAAATGGTAACTGGTCTCTGAGAACAGACTGTTCACGAGACTGAGAAGCTCATCCTCTCTTCATGACCCCTTCGGCTCAGTCCGAAGGGTTTAGCCGCCCATTGACCAACCTAGAAGAGAAGAGAAGAGAGGAGAAGAGAAGAGAGGAGAAGAGAAGAGAGGAGAAGAGAAGAGAGGAGAAGAGAAGAGAGGAGAAGAGAAGAGAGGAGAAGAGAAGAGAGGAGAAGAGAAGAGAGGAGAAGAGAGGAGAGGAGAAGAGAAGAGAGGAGAAGAGAAGAGAGGAGAGGAGAAGAGAGGAGAGGAGAAGAGAGGAGAGGAGAAGAGAGGAGAGGAGAAGAGAAGAGAAGAGAAGAGAGTAGGAGAAGAGAGGAGAGGAGAAGAGAAGTGAAGAGAAGAGAGTAGGAGAAGAGAGGAGAGGAGAAGAGAGGAGAGGAGAGGAGAGGAGAGGAGAGGAGAGGAGAGGAGAGGAGAGGAGAGGAGAAGGGAGGAGAGGAGAGGAGAAGGGAGGAGAGGAGCCTCTTCTTCAGCTATTCCTAGAACGGTTGTCCCTTTGGGCCTGTCGTCAACTCTCCTACCTCCGGTTCGTTTTCCTCAGCAAATTCGGAAAATGAATGAAGAAATATATGCTTGATTCACATGGGCCTGGTCGAACGCTGGCCCCACCAGTGGACAATGGGCTTAGAAGTGGACCCGTACTCCGAAAGAGAAAGAAAACTGCCCGTCGGGACCATCTCCGATGGGATGTCGAGAAGCCGGTGGGTAACATGCTCTCTCTCTCTCTCTCTCTCTCTCTCTCGCTGTCTCTATCTATCTCTCTCGCTCGCTCTGTGTGAAGCTGAAAGCCTACTACCTCGTCCGAGTCGCTTTCAGCTTTTGTTTCTCAAAAGAAGCACCGCTGGTTGCACCGGCGAATACGTGGCCGTCGTCGCCCCCACCGGCGGTGTGGCGGGAGCACCCCGGAGGACATGCGGTTCTTCTCCGGTCCCTCCGGTGGAAAGAGAAGGAGATTCCAGGCCCAAATAGGCTAAGAGATAGATTGATAGATAGAGAGAGAGAGAGAGAGAGTAGCTTGAGGGCCATTGAATGGGCATAGCTCCTGGTTTCTTAGGAGCTCTATTTCTTGCAAAGTGGGGGATGAGACTCGGTGCTTGGTTTCGAAGCTGTTTCATTCGATCTTGGCAACTACAAGGAAGGAAGAAAGGTCAGTGGAACCCACGAGAAGACATCGACGATCCCTTTCTGCAGCGAGGAAACGACTCCCCACATGAGGGAGATGAGAGAGAGAGAGAGAGAGAGAGAGAGAGAAGCGCAGCAGGAGCCTAGACTTAGGGTCGACTCTCAAAGCAGCCCAGAAGCCTTCGCCTTGGGATAATATCGCTTATTAATCCCATGACACCATTTAACCATCGCTAGTGTGCACGAGAATTTCATCGTAGATTAATTATATCTCATCCTCGGTATTATCACCCGCAGCAAGATGGTGCCCTCGAATTAATTGAGAGAATATCCTCTGCGACGCTGAAAATTGAGGATCCTCAATTCCTAAACCCGAGAAAATATTCGCTATTTATTGCAAAATATTCCATATTTATCTTATTTATGAATATATTTTTATAAGAAAACCTTGCTTTAGACTTTGGCGAAGATCGTGGGATTGAAAATATGATGTAATTTTTGGAAAAAATCAGCACCAATAAATGAATCTGGATTAATCGGAATGCAGGGCGGATATTTGCATTTCGAGAAGATTTTTGTCCCTAAATTGGATATTTACAGGGCCCGACGGACCCGGTTGGAGGTGCTCCCCCTTGCAATGCGGGGCAGTTCATATCGGGTCGCCTAACGGGTAGCCCGTAGGACCCGTTAGTAAATGGGTCTGAACCACACATCCGGTCTTCACCGGACCAGTGGAACCCCATATATACGCCTGAATTAATTCTCCCCCCTCTTTCCGCAGGAAGAGATCCTGAGGTATCCATCCAGTAGTACCCTGAGCAAGAGAGAGAGAGAGAGAGAAAGTGGGAGAGAGAGAGAGAGCCCAACACTGATAAGCGGTGCCGCGATCATAATTCCGGCGAGCCAACCCGGCCTTTGACGGATACCAAACTCGTTCCGTGAAAGGGGAAGGAGAGAAAGAGAGAGAGAGAGAAAGAGGAGCTCAGAGAAGCGAGGTTCATTTCCCCCAGATCCTACCATAAATGCTTAAGATTCATGGAGTTGGAGGGCAACAACTCACATGGACATCGCCTTCTCTTGGGTTCTCTCAGGGTCCTAACCTTGGGTTTTCCCAGGGTCCTAACATGCGTATAGAGAGAGAGAGAGAGAGAGAGAGAGAGAGAGAGAAAGAGGGGATTCCAAAATCTTTGATCTTGGGAAGAAGAGGGTATACGCAGAGATCATTGGGCATGGTGGCATCATATAGCCGCATAAAATCCAAAGAAGGGAAGTTCGGAAAGACCGAAGAGAGAGAACAAGGCTTTCTCTGTTTCCTGCTCGCTGCCAATTAGCTCGAGTGCAACACAGTAGACCACAGTCCGAGGTCTTATTAACTGCACTGATAATCTCTTTCACCCTTTCTCTCTCTAGGCCTCGGTGCACACACAGAGTGGGGATTACCCCAACCGTGTATTGGATAAAAAGGATCTCGACAGACCAGTAGACCACTGTTCAGCACGGCTGGAGAGATAGATCGATAGATAGATACAGGTGTAGAGAGAGAGAGAGAGAGAGAGAGACAGAGAGAGAGAGGAAATGGGGAAAAGGTGGATCAAGAGGGAATGATCTCTGTAAGAAGGGATGGGGAGTGGGGGTTGTTTCTGAGGCTATAAAAGGAGACCTATCCCTTGTAGAAACCCGCTTCCGTTTTCCCTAGAGTTCTCTGAAGGGGAAGGAAATCGTTCTCCTTGTTCCATTCCCCCATCTCAGATTTGCCTCACCATCCTCCGCTTCCTCCCACTTCCATCTCTGTCGAGGTAAGCCGTGGAAACAACAACCTCTCTCTACCCGCTCTCTGATCCCAATTAGGGCTCTTCCTCGTTCCCTGTTGCAGCCCTATCAAGATGGAGCTGCCATTCTGGTTCTTTTAATCTCTCGCTGATTCCCTTTCTGGATTTGTTCCCCATTTTCTGCCTTTCCTCCGTTTTCAGGCTCCAGAAAGCACTGAGAGAAAGAGAGAAGGGGAGAGAGAGAGGGAGGGAGAGAGGGGAAGAGGGAGGGGAAGGAAGATAGATCAAACCAGAAGAGATAAAAGGGTTGGAAATGGGTAGAGGGAAGATCGAGATAAAGAGGATAGAGAACACCACAAACAGGCAGGTGACCTTCTGCAAGCGGCGCAACGGCCTGTTCAAGAAGGCATATGAATTGTCCGTACTGTGCGACGCCGAGGTCGCCCTCATCGTCTTCTCCACCCGCGGCAAACTCTACGAATACGCAAACCGCAGGTATACCCCATGGCTGATGGTCGCAATTCTCTTTGTTCATATTTTAATCGTTTTCCTCAGCCCTTTACTACACACATTCGATCATATTTTGATCTCTTGGGATTCTCCCCAAGATTCTGAGTGAGGGGAAGAACGTTCCCCTTCCGTTCTCCGCAGTGAAGAGAAGGATCTTAGTCGGACGATTCGTCTGGTTCTACTCCTCAATCCGACGATCTCTCGCGTCTTCCGAAGCGAGAAAATCTCTCCGGATGCCGGCTGAACTTGCTGCATCCTAAACCGTGAGACGCCTTTCCCATCTTTTGCCAATTTAGGATCTCTTGGTTCCTCCCAATTTAGGTCACTTCGTAGATGTTGTCGTCCAGTGAGCTTCTGGTTCTGGTAGGCTCCCGCTGCGATTTCTCCGTGACTGTGGGAGAATATTACATAGTCGTATAGATGGTTAGATCTGGAGATGCAGAAGTGAAGAGATTAGTGTTGAAGAGCAGTGAGCGATCGTTTAGGGCAGAGCTAGCCATGCGGATCTGCGAAAAGAAGAAGATCCAAGGCCTCCTTCCTGCTTGGATTTCATCTTTGCCATTTCCTCTCTCAACTCTTCCTCACCCACCCCTTCTTTATTCCCTCCTGCTACCTCCCCCCATGCCCTCTTCTCTCTCTCTCTCTCTCTCCCCACCTATCTGGGGTTGTTTCTCTCACTCTCTTTCCTGTTTCCTGCTTCCTGTTCACGTCACCCACCACTGGTTAGGGAAATCACAGCGCTGCCAAGCTTCCCATTAGACGGTTTCCAGTCACTCGCTAGGGTTTTGACAGACGTCATACTTGTCAAAGAGGTGGGACATCAGAAATGGGTTTCTAGGGTTTCCCAGTATCTCCCCTATCTCACCCCTTCTCTATCTGCACCTTTTTTTTTTCATTTCCCTCTCCTTCGACATGATTCACACGGCCCCATACTCGCTTTATTTTCTCCATGGAGATTCCTCCCGAAGAAGAAGTCGTCGCCGGAACCCTAAACTCCCCCACCCGCTGCCGGAAAATCTTCACCATACCAGGGGTAGAAGGGACATGACCTTCGCTGGTTCACCTATGGCGGGGACCTCGCAGACCTACTGATTTCAAGCCAGAGATAGATAGATAGATAGATCGATAGAGAGAGAGAGAGAGAGAGAGAGAGAGAGAGAGAGAGAGAGAGAGGACGTACGAACGGGGCAACCCCTGCAGCCAATGGCGAGATCGTACTTGTGCGTCTTCGCATGGGAAGGCATACAAAGCTCTGGCCTCCGCAGAAACCAGTGGGGAAGCGAGAGAGAGAGAGAGAGAGAGAGAGAGAGAGAGAGAGAGAAGGGAAGGCAAAGGAGTGAAGTGGGTCGCCGGCGATTGTACTAGGGATAAAGCAGGGAGCCTCTCTGCGTGGCGGCGAGGGGAGCAGGAGGCGATCATGTCGTAGGATCTCGCGCCTGTGCAAAAGGACGGGCAACCCAGGCGCTCGAGGAAACTAAGGATGGGAGCTGGCTGAGAGGTGACAAGAAGCGATGGATCGAAGGGAAGAGGACAGGGGACTTGGCGGGTTTCCCTCTCGGGAATCGTTCAGAGGTAGAAAAAACATTTAAGAACTCGGAGGATCCGCCTACAGGTTCGTGACTTCTTGGGAATAATAATATATCTGTTACTGTTTTCCCGGAAAATAGAGAACTGGGAAGGACGGACGCTCTGTTCCGTCGTCCCCTTTAGCGGGTCTCCATCTCTCACCTTAGAAGCCATAGAGGATAAAGGAAGAGGACGATGGTTCTCCACTTCAGATTTCTAGATGGAGAGAGAGAGAGAGAGGATCTGCGTGGGTAAACAAGGGATCGTCCTCAGAACCAGTTGTGATCTTCCCCGCGTCGTCACGGCTCGGTCTTTATTTTTCCATGTGAAATCACTGCTAGGGCTAGCTTTCTTAAGCTCCTGCACTCATGGGGGAAGGGGGAAGGCAGGAGATATAGATGCACAGGTGATTTTTCTCTTTCGAAACACCGGGGTGATCCTTGGTTGCAGATGAACCTTCAAGTCTTGTGTGTTTCCAGTTTGTGATCTTCACAGCATCTTGCTCTCGCTGACTCTTTTCCGCATGAAATTGGATCTAGACACTGAGTAAATCTCCATGGAACCACAGCCGTAAGGCACACATCGCAGAGTTCTTACTGGCGTCGGATTTTATACGAAGTCCCTCGCCCATGCCCACTGCATCTTCTTTCACTAACATCTCTCCCATGCGACCTTGTCTTCATCTTACACGCCTCCTGTCGCTTCGGATTTTCGGCGTTGACTTTGCTCGGCTGGCCAGATTTTTGAAGCCAAAAATCTGTTGCGAATGTGTGTACTCCGTTTTGAATAAGTGCGTTGTGTTCAATCATGTGTGCAGCGTGAAGGCGACCATCGAGAGGTACAAGAAGGCATGCTCCACCTCCGGACCAGTTGTTGAAGTCAACGCCGAGGTAATCTCCCCCATTCCGTCGTAATCTTCTGCATTGGTCAAAATAGGATGCCGTGGTGTTGTCTTCGCATCCGCTAGAAAAGGATCTTCTTTTCGGTGAGTTATTTCGTTCATTGATTTCTATGTTTATCATTTATCTTGTTGCTTGATTATCGGAAGCTGGTTTCCACCTCCGATTGCTCCAAGGAAGATGATTCTCATAATGAAGAGAGAAAAAGGAAAAAGAGTGAAGACTCTGGTCATTCAAGGCTGTTGCTTTGAAGTCCCACAGAATCAGTCAAGTTTTATTTGAATCTAGAAGCCTCTGAAGGATTCACTCGAGGCCACTGTATATCCACACACCAGAACCTTACTATTATTAGGAACATTCGATCTCGCACAAGGTCAACGCTATTCGATACCTCTCAGTTTCTAGAGGGAAAGAGAGAGAGAGAGAGAGAGAGAGAGAGAGAGAGAGAGAGAGAGAGAGAGAGAGAGAGAGGTTGCAGAGGGGGCGCAGTATTCTACAGGGACCTCAACTCTCCGATTGAATTCCTAATGCTTGAAAGATATGGAAGTCGGTTAGCCAGAGGAGCTGCGTTACGGCGCAAACTCCTTGAGTGGATTGCATCTCAGAAGTATGGAAGGAGAACGCAACACACTGTATCCCCTGCTGGACGACGGCACAACCCTAGACTCATTCAATGGACTGATCTAATGAGAACCCTAATGGGGGAGGTGCGTGATTACTGATACCCTACAATCGGTCTCATTAGGGTTCTTGAGATCTAAACTGATGAAGACGGTACAGTGGGAAGATCCAGGTTTTCTGACCTAGTTACCTCTCACTCCGCGTCCGTTGACGGGTCCGCCATGCAGGGAAAGAGGAGAGAAAAGACACCAGAAGGATCGAGGATCTCTGGTATCTCTTATGAGAGGTGGTCTATTATTCGGACAAGGACCGTGGAAAACCTCTGGGTAGACCCGCATTCCGGTCCTGCAGCTATGAATCACTCTTAGAATCCCTTGGCTCATGGATTTTTTCTGATCGCCGGAGCATACTGAGCAACCGCAGGATACGAGATGCTCTAAAATCGTCCCCGAAGAGGGAAATAATGCTCGCTCTAGGTATGAAACTTGTGTCGAGCAATGGTCAGCCCCCAAGATCGAATCGGGTCCCCCGCGCACTGCTGCGAGTGGCGAGATCTCCGTTCTCCTCTTGTGGCGCGGTGCTTAGGGCACAAAGCAAGATTCGGGCATCTCGGCCAGCCGTGTCTCTTGGTTCCCCGCCGAAGCTCGGCGATGTATGTGGAGTTCCTTGGGAGACAAGATCCTCCATCCGACGGCAAAAGGGCGGAGAAGAGCTGTTCAACGACTTTGAGGATGGATGCTTTGGGGGGCCCAAAAGCAAAACAGCACTCTTGCAGATCTTCCATGGTGGCTGAAGATGCCGCAGGTCATTTGGTGTGTAATGGCGACGGCGGCGGCGAGTAGTCGCGACATACGATAGGAAAATTTCCAGTTGTGGCTTGTTCATCCACAACTGGGAGGATGAGCCCGCAGCACAATTTGGAGGAAAATTTAGAGTTCATCACCGGAATTTCTTTGGTTGTTCTCTGCATTATTAATGGTTTTCTTTGATGGGTTTGGATCTATACATATTTCTTTCAATGTTTGTTCTTTCGTTTTTTTTTTTAATATGTTCCTGAAACAAATCCTTTTTCTCATGAAAAAAACTCTTTTACGAGCAATAAATATCATCATGCTTGCACAATCCACCATTCGAGTCTCCATTACAGACAACCTAATTTCCCAGAACAGATCGTCCGTCTCAGCAACGTGGTTTTTCTCTTGGTCGCAGTTCTACCAGAAAGAATCGGACAGCTTGCGGCGCCAGATCGTCAACCTGCAGGGGAAGATCAGGTTGCCTGAAGTTGCCCCTCGGTCAATCCTCGATGCTTTCGGTCACATTTCATAACGGCTGACCAGAAGGATTGCGTTGGAATGTAGGAACTGCCTGGGCGAAGACGTGAACCACGTTGAATCTAAGAAGCTGAAGAATCTCGAGAAGAGCCTGGAGGAAGGCATCAAGAAGATCAGAGCCCGGAAGGTACGTACGTCTCTCATGCTCCCCTCGACAGGGAAGGGGGGGTGGGGTGTCTCCCTTCTCGAGTTCTGACTCACCAAGAACATGCAGAACGAGCTGCTGCGCGCCGAAATCGAGTACATGCAGAGGAGGGTGAGTAATCCAGACGGGCTACCTGTTTCGTTCCTGATCTTCCCATTTGAGAAACAACGTCAGGGTTCTAGTCTGTAGTGACCGCTTGAACTGTCTGCGCAGGAAATGGAGCTGCAGAACGATAACAAGTGCTTGCGGGCTAGGGTTTCCAAGGTGGGTGATCACCTTTCCGATGGAGAGATTAGAGGGGTGTGTTAGAAGATGGTGGCGGCTGAGTCTCCCTCCTGTTTGCGTCATGCAGATCATCGAAAGCGAGCGGGCGCCGCAGCTGCTGCCGCCGCCATACGAGGGCTTCCCCCAGCTGGACTCCCGCAACCTGCTTCAAGGGGGCGTGATCGATCCTGGCAACCATTACCCTCAACAGCACGAGACATCTCTGCATCTTGGGTACGCTCTCTCTCTCTCTCTCTCTCTCTCTCTCTCTCTCTGAGGGAGCCCTGCCCATGTTCTTCCTTCGATCCAGGGGCCATCGGTGACTGGTGTGGAGCCTGCCGTTTTTTGTTTTTTATGGTACAGAATGGTCCTGGATTGAGAGGCACACGAGGGCCGGAGCGGGTCGGGGTTGACTCTTCACGCGTTGACTTTTTTTATGCATAAATTTGGACCCTTTAAATCGGTGGTGGACGCGCTTCCGAGATGCTTGCTGTTCGGACCACCCAACCCTTTCTTCCATTAGCTATTTCGACATCATAATCTGGCTTGCCGCAAAGTCTCAGTCTCCTTGATCTGGGCTGGTTCGACCGCTCGTTCGGTCTGACTTTAAAGCGCCGCCATTAAGATGTCTCTTTCTTTCCAGGCTTCATTTTTTTCTCTTTTTTTGTGGCAAAAATTGGAAAGAAACCGAAGTGAGCCACTCGATTCGTCCTCTCTGCGGTCGGGCTTTGGCAAAGGCGATGCCGGCGGTCAACGTCTTTTGAAAAGGTCGACGGCGCTCTTCTCCCCGCCCGCAAAAGCTGCCGTTCCACCGCCGCCCGCAAAGCGGCGCCAAAGAAGAAGATTCCGACCAACAAGTGCGACGGTGGAGGGCAGCGAATGCTGCCGGATTCGGAGATCCCTGCCGGCAGGAAAAATATCGACGATGTACGGCCCTCCCTGACCGCCGCCGCCGCCGCCGCTGCCGCCGACCTTGGACTTACTCGTTCCCGTCATATGTGGACTCATTGTCTGCACGTGTCCAACTCATTCCTCACCGTCACTCGTGGGTGGACGGTAGGGCTGACGTCGCGTTGACCCCTCCTGGTATCGTCCTCCGTCTGCTTGTTCACGCGCGAGCATGGCATTGCTTTCGTGGGCAGTGCCCAACAGACGGTGCCATTAATGGCTCTCGTGGGCATGCCCACCGGCGAGAAGCAACCTGCCGACAACCACTCAAAGTGAGATCCGACAGGACGAGATCTCTCAGTGCCGCCGGTGGGTGGGTCCCCTTCCTTCTTCTTCTTCTCGGTCAATCCCGCACGTTTCTCTGCAACTAGGATCCATAGGAAAATTGGCGACAATTCAAATCGGAAAAGAACGGAATTAGCGTCTCTGGGGGGTGGTTACTGCTCACGTCAGCGACACGCTCTGGAGGCCTTGAGGGAGTGCTGTCGACCGCTACGGCGGCTTTTCTGTCGAACCATGGAAAATGCGCCGCCGGGCTCGTCCTCTTCATCTCAAGAGTAAGGAGAGATTGCAGACAGGGGTTGGGAATATTCCGGATGCTCTCTCCACTGAGAAACCCAAAAGCGAGGGAGGAGGAGGAGGAAGAGGAAGAGGAAGAGGAGGGAGAGCAGGAGGAGGGAGGGGCCTCCCATCCTATCGCATCTTTCTTTTGTGGACAAGGAAAGCGAGGATCACGATCTTTTCTGCCTCTGATGATGGCCTCGATGGTTCCTCCAGCATACGGGCTTTGCCCGATTCTCCCCCTTTCTGCTTTGTTCTCACTGAGCTTTCTGAGAGGCCCGCCCCCGCTGGAATCCACCGCCACCCTTCTCTTTTTCTCGGAGTACGCCGTCGTGCGCTGCCGGAGATTATTCCGGTTCCTTCGCCGAAGCCGGAGAGGGAGCCGACCATCCGTCTTTGCTCCCTATTCTACCTCCGGCGAAGGTGGTGCACGCTCCGGCGGCGGTGACGCAGGTGGAAGAACGTCCACGGGGAAAGAGGAGGGGGCCTTGGGGAAAATACCCCCTCAGCATCAGAATACGAATCGACTTTAGGGGGGTACGTAGATTACAAGGAGGAGACGGGGAGGGCGTCGTCTTCTTCCCTGCGCCACGACGTCACCCGCTCTAAAAATCTCCCCTTTCTCATCTCCCCGTCCGTCCCCACCGCCCCCTTCGAAAAGCCCTCTGACAGACGGGGTTTCATTTCCTCCGCCCCTTACCACCGCCGCCGCCGCAGGCAATGAAGAGGCGTGTATAAAGAAGACGGAGGCGTAGGGGGCTGTATGGTCGCGGATAAGCCGGCTCGGCTGGCCTCACATTTCTGAAGATCTCCTGCTCGCTTGCTCTCTCAGGTGAGGTCCCTCCCTCCCCACCTGCCCCCCTCGTGAGTAGAGGAGACAAGGATTCACCTTCTTCCCGTTCTGGCCTTCTGTTCCTCCTCCCGCCATGTCTGTTCGTCTTTCCTCTCCTCCCTTACGTCACGGAGCATTCGGTCGTCGAGCATGCGTCGTATTGTATGATACTAGTGCTCACACACGCCGCCACTGTACGCAGAGATAGCATGGTTAGGGTGTTGTTGCGCCCGGGAGGGAGGAAGAGAGGAAGAGAGGAAGAGAGGAAGTGAGGAAGAGGAAGAGAGGAAGAGAGGAGGGAGGAAGAGTGGGCCGCTCTTCTTGGCACCACTCCGCTTGTTTGACCTAGAACCATCTCTGTCTGTCGCTTTCTCTTTCTTTATTTCACCAAGGAGTGGTAGCAGGAGCTCCTCATCCTGCGAAGACCCTCCCCCTCTGCACTCTCTCTTACTAGGAGACGAAACTCTTCAAGGAGAAATCCTTGTTGACACTTCCTTTTGGTTACGATATCTCTAGAACTGTCTGTACTCTGCGGTGCCCTCTTGCTCTCCCGCTTCCTCTGCACCTGCGTCGTCGGCGATTGTCGCGCGTTGCTGATCTTCTCTGGCTCCCTGTTTCGGAATGCAGGGGGAAGAACTGTTTCCAACTCTCTGAAGTAGATGAAGCTGGCCTCGAAGCAGGGCTCGGGTCCCCAGCAACAGCAGCATGTGCCGCCGAACAATTACACCAGCCGCAACCCCGTGTCCAGGGTGGAGCGGCTGCTCCGGGAAAGAGAACTAAGGAGATCCAACCGGGTCGTCCACCACGACGACGAGGACAACGACAGCGTTATCTCAGAGAACGAGCAGAGGGCCGGCGCTGGCGGCGAGTGGGTCAACGCCGATGAGGATGAGCTCTTGGATGCGGCCGTTGCGGCGGTGAGGGCGTCCAGTGAGAAGCGTGAAGCGCAGGGCGGACGGCCTCTGAAGCAGCGGCTGCTTGTGGTGGCGAACCGGTTGCCAGTCTCTGCAGTCAGACGAGGCGAGGATTCCTGGTCGCTGGAAATCAGCGCCGGCGGGCTCGTCAGCGCTCTTCTTGGTGAGTGAGAAACACGCAATTGTTGTTTCTTCTTCAAGCAGTTCAGGCTTTCGCACTTGAGAACGAAGGAAAGGTGGACTGGTTGCTGGCATATTTCTCTCAACCTTTTGACATCTAGATTGCCCATGCTTTCTACCTGGTTTCTGGGTTTTCTTTCAGCATCCCATCCAAAAAAAAAAAAACTGAAAATTCAGTCTTAGCCCTGTCAAGGTAATGTGCCCTTTGTTTGATTTTGCTGAACGGCGTGTTGCACTTGACGAGGTTTAACACCGCAAGCTCAAAGATCATCGCTAACCGAACAAATCCTTTCCTAGGTGTGGAGTTCGAAGCTAAATGGATAGGATGGGCAGGTGTGAATGTTCCCGACGAGACCGGGCAGAGAGCACTGACGAAGGCATTGGCTGAGAAGGTTTCTGCGGACCCAAGTCTTCATCTTTCAAGTATTGCTGTTCCATCTTTCTCGTGACGCAGCTCTGATAGAAACCTTAAACAAGGATTTTTTTTTTTTTTTAAAGTTAATTTTTAGCTGTATCTGTTCGGTGATTCGTTTTTTGTTTTAAGCAGAGGTGCATCCCAGTGTTTCTTGACGAAGAGATAGTTCATCAGTACTACAATGGTTACTCCAACAACATATTGTGGCCACTATTTCATTACCTTGGGCTCCCTCAGGAGGATCGATTGGCAACAACGCGCAGCTTCCAGTCTCAGTTTGATGCCTACAAGAAGGCGAACCAGATGTTCGCCGATGTGGTGAACCAGTACTACGAAGAGGGAGACGTAGTGTGGTGCCACGACTACCATCTTATGTATCTTCCGAAATACCTCAAGGACTATGACAGCAAAATGAAAGTTGGATGGTTCCTTCATACTCCCTTTCCCTCCTCAGAAATTCACAGGACACTCCCGTCACGATCAGAGTTGCTGAGATCTGTTCTTGCAGCTGATTTAGTTGGGTGAGAAAGAAGATTCCATTCTGAGTTATTTATATGGATTTTCTTTGACTAATTATTTGAGTGGTTCCTTTCTTCTTTTGACAAGCAATGGAATTATGAGATTTATGAGCCTCGTTTTCATCTGTCTATGTACGACCAATATCTGAATAATTTTAATATTATTGTGGCAAAGTGTGAGAAATTGGTGAAAGCAAGAGGATGAAACTGACTGACTTTCAAATGAGCCTGGAGGCAAACATGAATTATGTATTGGGGCCCCATCTGGAATTGTAAACGATGAAAACTGCTTTAAAAGAATCATGCATAAATCCTGATTCCAAATGGTACAGAATTGTCGTTTTTGATCTGGAAACTTGAATTGATGTGTACGATGAACATTGTCTTTAGAAATGGTTTCTTGAACTAATGTAGATAGTACCTTATAACTTTCTTAGCCAACGTTGCATTCAGTTATAGTGTGAGAAGAATACGTTCAATTGGATATTTAAGGTTAAAGTCGCTTCCAAAATCCTCTTCATTTCGGAAAAGATTTTAGAATGAACTTGTGCTATTTTAGTTTGATTAAGGCTCGTGCAATTCGATACTATCATAAAATAATTTACTGGTTGACTTCTTATTTGGTGCTCAGTATTATTTTCATTCAAGTGCACAAGATTTATGCTACTGGTTTGTTTTCTAGTTGATCTGATGGGCTTCACCCTTTTGCAACTCTCTTAATAGGATGAAAAAAGCTTTTTATTATATCGTTATATAAACATTCTTAGAAGAACCAATTAGCAAAATTTCTCAACATTTTTTGCACCAGGACCCACCATAATGGAAACCAAAAAGAAATCTTTCGACATTTGTTTGGGGGGCTTTGACTACTGTAATGTTTTCTACTTGGTGGTTGGGGTCACATTATCTGTTCCTCTGAGCATGATTAAAGTGAAGACGCATGGTGACACGATTTGCCCATGGATGATTAGTCCACTTATTTTCGCGTGAAAATTTCTTCATTGACCTGACTATGATCTGTGTAAGTCGTTCTCTCGGCTATCATTCGCATTATCTGTGATATCTCTTGTAAAGAAACTCATCCTACCCAGGTTACAGACTTTTGAAAAGCAACTTGCGTAGCTTATAGAATTAATCACTCTTTGCACTGAAACATTACTCTGAGAATTATGTAACCAATTACATTGTGGCTCCGAATACATTTCTTGTGGATTTCTTGTCGTGTAAAATTGTGTTTGATCATCAGACACTCAAAACGAAAAAAAACAAAGAATTCTCATGTCATGAAATCTTTTTATACGACCCTCTGCCTAGTCTTCACTTGGCTAATTGTGTAGTTACTGTTGGCTGTATTCCAAGTTGTGTCTGGTGAGCTTTTCTCCTTTTTTGCACAGCGAGAAGTTTGTTATATTGTTTTTCTCATACTATGCGTTCCTTGGTGTGACTCGAATAATTGAGGTATATGTAAATGATTTCCAGATTTCACACATATGACTATGCAAGACACTTTGTCAGTGCTTGCACAAGGATTCTTGGATTTGAAGGCACTCCTGAAGGGGTGGAAGATCAAGGGAAGCTTACTCGAGTTGCTGCTGTAAGATTTGAGCTTTGATTTTGTATATTATTCATCGATATGATCATCATAGTTCGAAAATAATTGTGAAACGCCGTATAGCAATGAAAGTCCAACACCTGGCACGGCGAGATCTAATTCTCCTGCGGAATTTTGTGCTATAATAGGCCCCCAGTTAGTTTTGCACAACGTTAGTAACCTTGACATTTTCTTGTTAACTTGTAAAATCTGGTCCCCGAAAATTTAGGAATGCCTGTTAAATTGCTCTCCTAGCGTTTTTCAGTAAATGTGATTCAAGTGTTACGTTAATTTACAATATTTCAGCTTATTTCCTAAGTCTGTGATTAAATCATTTTATTTTATGCTCTCATTTTTTTTCATCATTCATTCTATCTCAGTTTCCTATTGGGATAGATTCTGATCGGTTTACCCGAGCTCTCGAGCTTCCACAAGTTCGAAATCATATAAAAGACTTGAAGGAAAGATTTTCTGGGCGAAAGGTCTGGACTCCTCTTCTTTACCTTGCTATTTTACTTCTGGTCAATTTTCACACCGTTCATATTAAAAATCTCCAATATTTTGTCTTTAAATGTCCACTGAAATCTGTTTGTACCATACTTGGAAGGCAGAAGATTAGAAAACTTCTTGATGTTGATCCTCGTTTTATTTCTATAAATGCAACCTATTTTACAAATGAAAGACTGCAGGGTTTGTGATGTCAAATATCACGCAGTATATCCTACTGTTCATTTAGTTCTATCAACAGTACCGTTAGTTTTGGGGCTTACAATATGCCATGTTGTCATTACAAGACCGAGAAGGTGATATATGTGGTCTTACTTGAAGACCAGGATGAATATTGACAAAATATCTGAAGTACTACCTACTGAAAGAATATGATGGTTGATACTATATCTTTGTTGATTTTAGGAAAATGAAGCATCCCTCACAGAGAAATAAGGGATATTAACTGTTATGCTTACCATTTTATTAGCTCCAACATATGTAGGTTGGAAAATCTACTCACACGAGGCATTGAAGATGCCTTTTGGACACCAAGAGCACTATTTGTGGCTAACCTGAGGTTGACAGTAATTATTTTTTTAATCATGATTTACCCTAATTTCAGGGGTATTCGTTATCCAGATAGTTTCTTCTTCAATTATCATGTTATTGAGTGAGCTGAATGCCCGAGTGAAATTTGGATTAAGATTTTATTTCATATCTGCTTCATGTGTTTAGTTGGACTGTGAATACGAGCCTTCAGAAAATGTGCTACGACTTCCCAGTTAGACAATCTATTCAAGAGAACACCAACTATTATACTATTGTGTTCGATATTCATGACAATCTATTATTGTCTATATCTTCACTCTGGCTCAGTGGATTTTATTGTGTCATTTTTTTTCTTGACTCATCCTACTCCCTTTTCTGTCAAAGAGCACGACATATGAAGGAATTCTCAGCGTCCACTTCCATCTAAAATTATAGTATTCATTATATTTACCAGCTCTTATTGGCATAGCTTGCATCCTATCTCTCTTTGTGGACTCTAATCTCTGGTTTGTTGGCTTCTTTCCATTCTTTCTGTACTTTTGGAACCTCACAATGTGGCTACTGCTGCAATCGAATAATGCTTGTTTTCTATCTGTCAAGCCTTGAAAAGGGATGATTTGGCACAAATGAAATGCGTTATTATCTAGCTTTACTGTTGTGGTTTGCAATCATTCATTATAAGTTTAGGTTATGTTCTAGAGTTCATATTATCTAGGTTATGTTCTTCTCTAGGTCCTTAAAAGATGTTCTCGCTTTAGTTGAGATCTATTTTATTTCTCAGTGATTGATTGGAATCCATACTAGCTTAAAATTTCAGTCAATTATTGGTCTTTTTTTCCATTAGGTGATGTTGGGTGTGGATCGGCTTGACATGATTAAAGGAATACCGCAGAAGATCTTGGCCTTTGAGAAGTTCCTTGAGGAAAACCCTGCTTGGCGTGATAAAGTCGTTCTGTTGCAAATAGCCGTACCTACAAGAACGGATGTTCCTGAATGTATTCCTCCTCACACTTTTTTCTATGAATAGATTTTTTAAACCTGCTCATCATGGAAGCAACGTGTCTCATGCAATAATTCTAGATTCAAATTTTTCAATCTGGTGCTTAGATTAGTATCTTCTCAACTTAATTGTTTACAGTTTTCTGACACCTCGTAACATACAGAGAGATGTATCCAGAAAACAATTCAAAATGTTTGGATAGGTTTTCTTCTTAGCTGAATTGATTGGGGTTAACTTACACCAGCCTTCATACAGAAAGTTATCCGTTTAGCAATTTGGTCTGTCAGTTTTACAGTCCACCCTTTTGAAACAAGTAGATGGCCTTCGTGTGCATACATACATACATACATACATAATAGACGTACATATAGGTCCAAAACAGTAAGCATATTTGACTGATTTAAGTTTGGAAATGTTCAGAAGACTAGCTGTGGATAGGTAACTGAAACTTATAGCGCACTACAAATGTTACAATAAAATGTACGAAATCGGGTGGAATTTAACTTTGCGGTTCACGGTTCCAAGCATTGTGTTTCAGACGTTCATGGATGCCCCCTCAAAGTTTTAGCCCGTGTATTCTGTAGCTTCTTGTGCCCATGCTTCACAAGGACTTTAATTAAATAAGTCTTCCTTATCACTCCCTCGTTACTGTGATATCATTGTACACATTCTTTTCCTCGATCATTTAGAATTCATTTTAGTTAACACATCAGATCTGAATGGAAATTTTATGAAAAAGCTAATTTTTATTTTATTTTATTAGTTAATGGAGTGCCTTTAAATCGATCTGTGCTCATCAGCTTCTGTAGAAGTCTGTCTCCCCCCTCCAACAATTCTGACTCTCAATTACTTCCTTATCGCAAGTTTGCTTTGAAACACCTTTTTGCATCCAAAGTTGTTTTTGGTTTCTCATTAACCAAGACTCTTGATTCTTACCATAGAGTGGGGTAGGTTTATCCATTTTTGAGACAACTTTTACCTTTGTATTCCGTATTTCATTTTTCTGATGATTATTTAAATTTAAATATTTCATTTTCAACTATTGTTTCGTATCATAAATTGTATATCAATACTTTTTCTGAAACTTACCTATATGATATAGGCCCAGTAATGCTACAGAAGAGTTAGATTTGATATTGTCAAAATGTTTGTCTAGAAAACTGGGCTTTTCTATGATCTCAGCCTTTTTCTGATGAATGGCCATCAGAGCGTATTACTATCTGAAAAATCGTAAATGCTTTATTGTTTCTGTTCAGAGAAAACAGGTATGCTTAACTTCCGCAGTTATTGCTGTCATGGTGGTGTAACTGAGGGGGCTTAACCAAGAGAATGCTGTGTCGCAAGGATCCTACACCGTCAAGCAATATTTCCATCCATATGCAAGTAGGAGAATTACTAGTCATTGAGAGTATAATTGTTTTTTAGAGACAATTTTTTAGTCAGCTCCAGAAAAGATATCAATTGACGGAAGAACTTTTACACAAAATGAACTGACTCCTGAAATCCTAGTGAGTAGTTCGAATCAATAGGGGTATTTCCCAGTGCAAGAATACTCAGGTCTGGTATTTATATTTCTATGGACAAAGAAGATTAACGGGCTTGACATGATGGTTATTATCATCTAAAATTTTCCAGTCTGAATCAGCATTAGTCTTTTTGTTTACTCGAAACAAGGTCTGAAGAAACTAGTCAATCCCAATTGGAATCAGCCATCGCCAAAAGTTTTGGAGGGAATTCGATTTCCAATATTGTCGTTGTTCCTAGCTGATTCCTTGTTGACCTAATCCTAATCTGGATAAGATCAGACCCAACGATCAACCTCAATTGATTCCCTGATGTAATGCATAGAGAACATAAAATTGAGTTAATAATAAAATGGCTCTGCGATCTAGTTGTTTAATCATATGGACTATAGTTGTGGGACCTACAGTTCTTCTATCTAGACTATTATCCGTTTCTGTTTCTGATTTCTAAACGAAACTATTTTCTCATATGAGATAAATAGGTGTTTTGGCTCGTTTTTTGAGCTTTTACTGGAGATGTCGACACTCTTATGTCCAGAAACACAGACACTTGTGTATATATATATTATATATATATGCCATGTATAATTCAACAGTTTATCATGTATTGTGCATTGCTTTCTATTGAATCTTGCTATCAAGGCGGGTTCAGTTACTCCTATAGACGAACATTCATTGAATATTGCTGTTGTTCAGTTTCCCTTTAGTTCAATTTTTTTCCTTTTTCTTACTTTTTGAATTTTTTTGACAGATCAAAAGCTCACTAGCCAGGTTCATGAAATTGTTGGACGTATAAATGGCCGTTTTGGTACCCTCACTGCCGTTCCTATACATCACCTGGTCTGCATTTTTTACTGCCCTCTTTTGCTCTGATCTATTCAGTGTTGAATTTCTTTTACTAGTTGGCATACTGAAGACTCTTGAATCATCGGGATGATATTCTCCTGAGCTTTGTTGCCTTTCTTATTCAGGACGGCTTTAGTTGTGTATCAAGTTGTATGCTTTATTAATTCGTCGTCATTTAGTTCATTCTTATATTTCATATTAGTCGTATTTGAGAAATAAATGAAACTGTTGCATAAACTTCATGATAACTGATCGATAACTACTTGTCTGTTTTATCTTTAAAAGATGGATGGATTGTGTATATAAAAAAATTCAAAGAAGATATTATGAGGGATAGTGATTCAGATGATCATCACAACTATAATCGGGCGATGAGAGAGAAAAGTATCTAGAATGTAAGATTAGGCAGTATCAGAATTTGGAACCACATGGTCGCTCGGCTGAGCTGTATAGAGTAAATGAAGATGCAATCACTGTATACGATATATGAAGGGAATATAGAAATGAAACAACATTTACAAAAAAATTAGTTTTTGGAAAATAGTTGGGACGAGTTCTCTCCGAGCATGTGTAGGAAACCCTTGTCCATTGAGGAACATGTGGCGGTCTCTATCAAACGTGTTGGTTCCTTGACCAGTGGAAAGGCTGGGTGTGGAATAGCATGAAAAATGGCGAACCAGTATATCATCTTATTCATTTTACACTGTATATTGGTGATTGTATTCCTTGGATTGCAAGGTAATCACTGATAAATATATGTCATGATGGGCAATCTCTGAGCATTTACTTGAACATTGTTGATATTTTTAAAACTTCCATAGATAAAATCTGCGAAGAAAGTTTCATTGGAGTCAAAAGATAGTACGAACCAAGGACTCTGGCTCTGCATGATGTATAAAGCATACAGAGGAATTTATTCAGAATGCATGCATTTACTTTATATGGATCCAATTCCTGTTGTCTACCTTCCACTGATGAATCTTAGATTATTGTATGTTTGAATGCCTTTGAAATATTAAATCTTTGCATAGGAATTCATTTCTTTCGTAATCTAGATCATTTTATTATAGCGTTGGGAAGTCTAAGGGAAAGGTCGTAACTACAATTTGTTTATCTCAATCCTCATTCTCGCATATTTTATTTAGGGAAGTCTAAGGGATCTGTTCCTCGTTAATTTCTGTTTTCCAAATGTAGACCTTTCTCAAGTTTATTTTATTTTATTTTATTTTATTTTATTGCAGGACCGTTCTCTTGATTTTCATGCATTATGTGCGCTATATGCAATCACAGGTACATCGTTTATCTCGCATTACATCTAGATATTTCTTTATGCTTCGATTTACTCGTGTATTGCAGTCCACTAGTTCTTATGTATGTTCTTTTTCATAAATCAGTGAGAAATGTGTAGTCTGTGTCACCCTCTGAAGGAAATTACGTCTTTCTGGCAGAGCTAAGCAATTCTGTGCTCCTGCTGTAGTCCTCCAAATAAGTGGCTGCTTTAAATATGCAACTGGCTGTTTTAGGTGTCATTGTGTCTAAACATGTGCATATTTCTTGAGGGAAAGGAGGAGGGCATCTCAGAATACGATCCCTCCATAGGGAAACAATACGAAAAACATCAATAACCGTGACATCTGTTATATATATTTTCCCCTTGGTTTATTATAGTTTACTATGTCATATTTTTTAATTCTACAGTCTTCCCTATCTCTATTGTTGTTGTTCTCCATCTAAATTGATTTTTTTTTCAACTTTATGATTTTGATGTTTGTCTGTTTAGATGTGGCTATTGTGACATCATTACGAGATGGAATGAATCTTGTCAGCTATGAATTTGTCGCATGCCAGGAGGAAAAGAAAGGGGTTCTTATTCTCAGTGAGGTAAGAAAAAGATGACCCTGTTGATTTCTATCAGCCTGTTGTTTCTTTTACAATGACAGATAAAACCCATATATTTGGAGCGTGATGATGTCAGATGTGAATGCCCTTCTAGATTTGAACTTTTTTTTTTTTTTCTATCTTTAGCCCATGCTTGCTCTTATTTCTGTTGCTGATGGTAATATTTACTGTTCTCGATGAAACTTTACTCTGTTTCTAGTGTATAGGGTATGGAGTCTCAAAACATGTTTATCATTGATCAATAAGAAGCTTACGCAGTGTTGTTCTTAGTTTGCTGGAGCAGCTCAGTCTCTTGGAGCTGGAGCACTTCTCGTAAACCCATGGAATATCACGGAAGTTGCTAACTCAATCGGCTACGCATTGAATATGCCCGCTGACGAGAGAGAGAAGAGGCATCGACATAACTTTGCTCATGTCACTACCCACACTGCTCAAGATTGGGCAGAGACTTTTGTAAGGTACATTTTTAAGTTCAAGTTCTGAACTTGCATGCCCACATCTCCATTCTCCACTCTTTGAGAAGCATAATGGACTGCGTTATTATTATTAAATTACTGCAAGCTATTGGAAGAAAATTGTCATTTTTTTCTGGCATTATTACAAACCAAAAGAAAGGAAGCAGATGAACTTTGGCATTTACAAGCATAAGATGGCTTATCAATATGTTGGCCATAATTAGATTAAGGAAACATCATAAACGAATCTGATACTGCCTCTTGGTCTTTTCCTTCATCTGACGTTCACACATATCTTGTCTCCACATTTCCCAGTCTCAAATTGATATCACCTTATAGGCATCTAAAAAGGGTCAATGTTCATATCATATGTATCTACATTTTAAGTAGTGAACCATGTGTTCATAGTCATCACATTATCCAAGTCGGTGTATGTCGGTACCTGAAAGAACCATGTCACATATGGATAGAATTGGGACTGTAATTTTTCTTTTCATAACAATCATTTCAACATGTTATTTTTCACTTCTTTAGCTTGCATTTTGGTGGACCTCTAGTGTACCACTCACTAGTCGGTGGTATGGGAGACTGATTAGGGTGGTGCAAGATGGTCGAAGTCGTGCTTAGTTCGCAGACTATCCTTGATATCCAAGTGTCTTCTTCCAACAAGGCTTGAGAAAGAAGACCAGATCTGGATTGGATGACCGAATTAGTTAGGGTTTGCCTAGAAAAGGTGGGCTGAATTGGGAGTTTATACACGGGCCATTGAAGGTTGGGTGAACGCTAATGTCATGCAGCTGATTACAGTAGTCTGCGCTACCTTTTTCTCATGGCACGCTATGGAGAATTTTGATATCAGCGAATGGGCACATCTTTGTCTAAGGCATCTAAGAACAATGGATTTCATTTTAACTGATTATCTCATTTATTAAATGATTAGCACTTTGGAGTCTCCCACCGTGAGGTTTTTTTTTTTCCAGAAACATGAACACATTTTTTTTTTCCATAAATGTACATTAATGTCCCGTTCAGCCTCTTCCAAGAACATTTTCACCCGCTTCCATAAAGAAACCTATTTGCTCATTTCATCACATCCGGAACATTTCAAGAGAAAACGGGATCTTCTACATTCCTAAATGATGAATTCTAGTTTTTTTTTTCAATGTTTTCTCTCACTTAAACAGGTTCTGGCACAACGAGTGCAGAAACAATTTACTTTTGCTGCAAAGAACTATTTGTGAAGTACATTACCTAATCATCTGATGCCGTTGTCTGCCGTCATCCTCATATCATACCTAATCATTAGAGCAACGACTATACTGTGTGTGGTGTACGTATTTACATAAGCTGGCAAGCTGTGGGATGTAACCAATGATAAGCTGTTCAGTTTAGTCCTCCCCTCCATTGATGAGTTCAAAAAAATTTCGAATGTTTTACTTTATTTGATTTTATTTTGTGCTCTCATCATTTACTTTGCCTGTAGCGAACTTAATGACACTATTGTTGAAGCTCAACTAAGGACAAGACAAGTCCCACCTTTCCTTCCGACGAAAATCGCTGTTGAACGTTATTTGCAGTCCAGGAACCGATTGCTTATCTTGGTATCTCCCTCTTCATGCATCACCAGCTTTTTAGTTGGACAGAGAAAATAACAATATAGCTATTTTCTCTTTCTGTTGCATGTTGCCGCAGATACTTTTCGTTCTGACTGTTAACGCATAGGTAGTAGGTTCTTGAACGAAGTTTTCCTAGTCGACGTTGTATCATATACTTGTGGTGCGCTCTCAATGACATGGTCAGTGCTGCATGCGGAATAGAGATTTTGGTCTCTGCTGTTACCTCTCTGGATCAGCTCGCCGTCCTTTTTGCTCCATCTCGCAATCTGCTGTCATGTATGATGACCTTGATCTTCACGTTGTCACGTAATTAATCTGCTCTGGCTTTCTCTGCGATGTCGCCATCTCATCCGCATCTGAGCCCTTGTTTCTGTGGTGTTGGGGCTTGATTGTGTCGCTTTATATGTTGGTCCGTGGCGGAAATCAATTTATCCGATTCTTTCTTTAAATGATGATCATATCAACTCCGGTCGTCCAATTGCAGGGTTTCAATGCTACGTTGACGGAGCCCGTGGAGACTCCCGGCAGAAGGGGCGGCGACCAGATTAAGGAAATGGAGCTCAAATTGCATCCCGAGCTGAAAGACCCTCTGAGCGCTCTCTGCAATGATCCGAAGACCACCGTCGTGGTCGTCAGCGGTAGCGACAGAAGCGTCCTCGACGACGTATGGATTCTTGCCGTTTCCTCGTGATCGCATCGGTCTGTAACAGTTATCGGGAAGGCAATTCCAGGGCCTGATTGCTTTAATGTCTTCTTCTCTGCTCAGAATTTCGGAGAATACAACATGTGGCTGGCTGCCGAGAACGGAATGTTCCTGCGCCTGACCAAGGGGGAATGGATGACGACCATGCCAGAGCACCTGAACATGGATTGGGTCGAGAGCGTGAAGGTACCCCTCCTCTATGCCTCTCTGCTCTGCTCGCACTGTCGCATCCCGCATTGATCACACCCCATCGCCTCCTTCCTGCTCCAGCATGTTTTTGAGTATTTCACTGAGAGAACCCCAAGATCCCACTTCGAGCAACGCGATACGTCGCTCGTCTGGAACTACAAGTACGCAGGTATCCCCCCCCCCCCTCCTTCCCTCTCAAAATCCTACCTTTTCTTCGCTTTCCCGTCATGAAGACTCGAGCGAGCTGCTTCACTTGTCCCATGCACAGATGTGGAGTTTGGAAGGCTTCAAGCGAGAGACATGCTGCAGCACTTGTGGACTGGACCAATCTCTAACGCCGCCGTCGACGTTGTCCAGGGCAGCCGGTCCGTCGAGGTTCGCGCCGTCGGCGTCACGAAGGTGCGGGAGGTTACATGCCGACGCCTCCAAATCACGGCGGCGGCGCTTCTCGTTCATTCCTATAGCTCACCACTCACTGCCGTCGCAATGGATTCAAGATGGGCTGATGAGATTCTCTCTCTCCTGTTCCTTCGCAGGGCGCGGCGATTGATCGCATTCTAGGAGAGATCGTCCACAGCAAATGCATGGTGACGCCGATTGACTACGTTTTATGCATCGGGCATTTCCTCGGGAAGGTGATCCTCCCTCTTTCTTGTCCATGGATAGGGCTCTTCATGGGGCAGCTGACTGATGACAGAGAACCCGTCGTCGTCGCTGTGCTTCATCAGGACGAAGACATCTACACGTTCTTCGAGCCGGAGCTCCCGGCCGAGCCCCTGAACTCGTCAAGGACGAAGGCAGCGGAGATGGGCAAGTCGTCGGCAACGGAGCGGAAGACCTCGAAGCTGTCGAGCGTGAGGAACAGCCTGAGGACAAGCCATGGGCGAGCGCAGAAGGTCTCGGTTGGGTCGGAGAGGAAAACGACGATCAACTACTCCTTCGCAGGGTCTCGCTCCCCGCAGGACAAGCTCGCGTGGAACGAGGGATCGTCCGTTCTGGACCTGAACGGGAACAACTACTTCTCCTGCGCCGTCGGCCGGAAGCGCTCCAATGCCCGTTACCTCCTCGACTCCGCCGACGACGTGGTGACGTTCCTCCGGGATCTAGCGGCGGCACCACGAGGTCCTCCCCGTTGAACCCACCGTAATCAAATGTACTCCGACCTTCTGACCGACTCTTCTCACATCTCCAGAGATTCAGCTTATGTCATCTGCTCCTCTTGTAAGAATATATGCCACATCGTGGTCTACTTTGTGTCAATTATCACTGTGGCTAACTGGCACGGTTTGATGTAAGATTGTGATCGTAGCGGCTGTTCGCGAACGAGTAGTAGTTACAAGAAAGTTCCGAGTTCACCTACAGATTTTTTTCGGCCGAATTATCGATCATTGAGCCACGGCTGCCGTCGAAAATGAGCCATATTATAGCCTACCACTATTCGATCTTGCTAGATTTCTCCGAAGAACCAGAGGGGCTGAGCCTCAGCCAGAAAGATCGCGCTTTTTACGGGCGTAAATGTTTGTGGCTTTGTGCAACAGTAGTTATTGCCTTGTTTAATAAAGTCCAAATGCTCGAATCAGGCCTGGTATCGAAGTTCCCATAGGCCTGCGTGGGATTTCTTCCGTCACTTCTGTTTGGCGGGCGCAACGCTTTCAGGAGAACTCCTCGTGGGTGGTTCACGAGCGTGCCCACGTGCGGATAGCCTGGATGGGCACGTAGCCTCGGTCAACGGATAGGAGGAGCTCGACCCTGCTTCGCTGGGCACCTTTAATGGCGAGCGGCGGGGGATCAGATTTCGGAGGATTATGGACGAGTTGAGTGCTGGGCGATGAAGATGGCCACCACGAACAAACTGCTGCGAATGCTGGGATGCCGCGGATTCGCTGGGATTCAGGCTTTCTCGGAAACGAGAAGCCGATGGCGCCGCTGGGATGCCGCGAATTTGATGACTTCGACATCAACCCACCATGCCAAGTGCCCTTCATGGGGCGGCTAGATTCTGCCGCCGCCGCCGGCGGCGGAGGCGGGCTGATCAAGTCATACGGGTGGGTCCTTCGCCATTGCGCCGCGATCGGCTCGTTAAGTGGATCGGTTGACCGCGGAGGTTCCCTTAAGTGACTTGCATGCTTTGGAAGTATGGATGGTGGGAATAATATGACGTAATCGTCGGACAGTCAGCGAACTTGATGTTACTTCTTTCCATATATATTTCTACTTTCCGAATCTGGTTTGCATGCCAATCGCCTTCTTTTTTTCCCGTCGCTCCTTCGAGTCCTCCGCAATCCCTCAGGCGCACCGATCGAATTTTCTCTGATCCTTAGTCTCTCTCTCTCTCTATCTATCTATCTATCTATATATATATATATATATATATATATATATATATATATATATCCATCTATCTGTCTGTCTGTCTGTCTATCTATCTATCTATCTATCTATCTGAGGACTAGGAAACGGATAGATACCTGTATGACTTGACCTTGTTCTCCCTGTGAAGGGCCGCCGCTTTGGTTGATTATTTCCTTCCAAATTAATGGACGCCTCACAGCGCCAATGAACCCCCGCTCAAGGTCAAAGGAGAGGCCCGTCGCCTTCTATCGCGAAGCAAATCATGATCATAGTTTAATAAACAAATAAAGGCGCCAACATCTCGCTCTTGTTGTGGGAGGAAAGAGATAGTAAGTGGCTTGCGGCGTTAGGGTCGTTCCCGGGATTGTTGGAATGGAAGATAAGATCCATCTTTTATTAAGGGAAATGCAGCCGTGTATTTTCAGCGGCACCGCCTGCACTCTGGAGGCTCCTCGAGGTCATCTTCGCTCGGTGGTGGGAGCCTGACCCCGGCCATTGTCCTTCACTTGCCTGCCGTCACGACTAGGGCTCCCCCTTTCCCTCCCTTCCCCGGAAAGAGATCCTGGTGGATTACATTTAATGGCCAGCTTTCCACCCAATAAAAAGGGAACAGCTACTTTCTTCCGCAGTCCATTAGAATGAACAATCCCCGTCTTCTCTTTCCCCCCTCGTCCTCCAACATGGGAACAAGGCAAAGCTCCAGCTCTCTTCTTCTCCTGTCGCTACTCTTTGTCTATTCCACTGCCGCTTCCTCCTTCTTTGATACCCGCAAGGTCGTCGGTTTCACCGTCTTCATCTCTCTGTTGGCTGTTTCCTAGTTGACTATCGATAACCTATTTTAGTGGTTTTACGGTCATGCAGGTGTACATCGTGTACTTGGGGCAGCACAAAGGAACGAGGACGCCAGAGGAGATCCATGGAGACCACCATTCCTACCTGCTCTCCGTGAAGAGCAGGTAACACTCGGCCTCGAAAGAATGCCTAATAAGCTGGCGATATTATTCTACTCTTTTTCTCTCGATATGGGTTATGGGATGCCTTCCATTTTGATCCTCCAGCGAGATGGAGGCGCACGAATCTCTGCTCTACAGCTATAAGAATAGCATCAACGGCTTTGCGGCGTTACTATCCGCAGAAGAAGCCTCCAAGCTATCGGGTATGAAAGCGCATGATGATGGCTTATCTCCTGCTGAAATTATCGTTCCCTCTGATGCTTCATCCATATTCCTGCCCTTCTCTAAAATCTCTTCGGTTTCTTCGCCGCAGAGATGGAAACGGTCGTGGCCGCCTTCCCTAGTGAGACGAGAAGATGGTCCATGCACACGACCAGGTCATGGGAATTCATTGGGCACGAGGAACGGATGATGGGGGAGGAGAAGGAAAAGATGCCCTCGCGAGCAAATTTTGGGAAGGGAACCATCGTTGGGCTTCTTGACTCCGGTCTGCTGGCTGGCCCTCCTCTCCCATTTATCACCATGTTTTTTCTTCCCATTTGCATTGCTAGAACGGCATTTCGGGGATAAATATGACGAAGAATCGGTCAAACCTAGAACCGTTATTAGATTTTCACGTCCATGGCAGGAATTTGGCCAGAATCAGAGAGCTTCCGGGATGGGGGGCTAGGCCCCATTCCCAGGCGCTGGAGAGGAACCTGTCAGGAGGGGGACTCCTTCAATTCTTCCCACTGCAACAGGTAAGTGGCTATATCCTCCACATCCCATTAAATCCACATGCGTCTGTCCAGTTTCCCATCCCAATCTTGATCAACCGTTATAAACTAATTCTATCGGCAGAGGTTTGAGAAACGGGCTCTCCCGTAGCACATGCTAAGTCACCAGCCTAAGCCCGTTTAGATTAAACAAGGATCACCCTAATAGGTCTCCCTCGGGGGGGGGGGCTTCCGCGGGCAGGTAAACCCCATGAACCTTTGGTAAATCGTCCTGGGAGATAAAAAAAATCTGCATGTGAACCTCTCGAGATTGGAGTATCTATAATGCACAGAAGGTACTGTGAGATGTGAAAGGCAGTTCTTGGACTAAAAACCGAGGGTTCGAGAATGGCAAAGAAAACCCTACCGATCTCATGTTCTTGGGCGTGAGAAATATCTCGGGAATCGTCTCCAGCTTTCTGAGTGTTGGGTTGGGAGGGCGATCGCTTTGTCGAGATCCGCCAAAGCGGACAAACAATCCGTGGGTCGAGGGCTGCTTGTCTTCTTCGTAGGGACGAGCTTGATTGAGAAAAAAGAGAGTCCACCTTCCAAGCCTCAAGACAAGACCCTCTGTGAACTCCAGCTGGAAACCATCCCGTGACCGAAGTCGAAACTGTTTCCCAATATTTATTTTATTTCACACATGAGAGTTTTTGCCTAGTCTTTCGGCGTAATGCACTCCTATCAATATCGTTTATATCGATAACTGACATCGGTGTTGAGAATAATCTTCTACTGAACATTAAAACCGTAAAGTGGCGACTGAAAAAACTATACCCTACTCCGCTCACAGCAAAGTAATTCTGAGGATTGATTAGGATTTTTTCATTGTTGTTAATTCTATCATTATAATACATGCACATTGTTATCGATCTCCGTTGACTTTCCAGCATGAAAACCCAATCATGGAACAGTATTGGTCGGTAGACAAGTGGCTGTAGTAGAACAGCCTCACGTCACTTGGTGTTGTCGTAAAAGATGATTCGGTATGCACAGCCCCACTCTAATTATGACAGATATAACCTTAAGTAGGACGAGTGGCGACAATTGTCCGCGGCATATGAACGAAGGTCCAGACGGAGTAGATAAATATGGTCACGAAACACATGGTGCGATTGGCTGATTTATCCACTCTCCTCATTCTCTAATGCCAAAAATCCAACTCGCTGGCTGTTCACGACCAGACGCTCTCTCTTTCTTGCTCTCTAAACATTACCTCAGTCACTGAGACGTTCATCGGCATCTCCCCTGGTTGATCATGGCAGGAAGCTAATTGGAGCTCGATACTACCTGAAGGGTTACGAGGCTTACTACGGCCCCCTCAACACATCGTACGCATACCGGTCTCCCCGGGACGGAGACGGCCATGGCACCCACACGGCCTCCACTGTCGGCGGCCGCCCAGTGAGCGCTGTCTCAGCGTTCGGCGGCTTCGCCAACGGCACGGCCTCCGGAGGGGCGCCTCTAGCTCGGCTTGCGGCGTACAAGGTCTGCTGGCCCATTCCAGGACCCAACCCAAACATAGAGAATACGTGCTTTGATGCTGACATGTTGGCCGCCATGGACGACGCCATCGGAGACGGCGTTGACGTCCTCAGCATCTCCATAGGGGTGAACGGTGCGCCGCCGACCTACGCCGTGGATGCGCTCGCCATCGGGTCGCTTCACGCCGTGAAGCAGAACATCGTGGTGGCGCTCAGTGCCGGGAACTCGGGGCCGACGTCGTCCACCGTTTCGAATCTTGCCCCGTGGATGATCACAGTCGGCGCGAGCAGCATCGACCGGGCGTTCCCCGCTCCCGTCGTGCTCGGGAACGGCGAAGTTATAGAGGTAATCTCAATCTCACCGCCTGTTCGATCCCAGCACATCATAAAATCATGTTCTTAGAATTGTCTCAGGTAGAGCTGCCGTAATCACTGCAGGTCACACTTTTAAGCAGAACAGTCTGATCTTTCATCTTTACATACTATCATCACCCAGGTAGGGACTCACCATTCTTCACAGCTCTGATGATCGCTCAAACGTCTATTGCTCCTCATTTCAGGGACAAACCGTGACGCCATATAGGTTGAAGAAGAGAGAGTTCTCATTGATCTACGCTGGGGATGCAGAGCTGCCTGGCACACCAGCTAATGCTACCGGGTATGTGTTCTCGGCGCCTTGATGGAGAGAATCTTGCCCCCATGAAACCTGTTGATGTTACCGATTCCCCTTGGCTTCACTAATGGCGGTACGCTTAACCAACAGGCAGTGTCTTCCGGGTTTTCTCTCTCCTGCGGAGGTAAAAGGAAAGATCGTACTCTGCTTGAGAGGGCTCGGAATGAGGGTCGGTAAGGGCATGGAGGTCAAGCGGGCAGGCGGCACCGCCATCATCCTCGGCAACTCACCCGCTAACGGGGACGAGATCCCCGTCGACGCCCACGTCCTTCCCGGAACTGCCGTGGCATCCACCGGCGCTAAGTTAATCCTGCAGTACATCCGTGGCACCAAGAACCCAACGGCCGCTCTCGTCCAGGCCAAGACCATCCTGGGCGTGAAGCCTTCCCCTGTCATGGCCGCCTTCTCCTCTCGGGGCCCAAACCCCATCGAGCCCCAAATCCTCAAGGTAGATAACGAATCATGGTTTGGGGCCGCCGTTTCAATCGAATAGGTTAGTCGGCGTGATCGATTCAGCTGACAGAATTAGTTCTTCGTTTTTACAGCCCGACATCACCGCCCCGGGCCTCAACATTCTGGCGGCGTGGAGTGAGTCGTCTGCGCCGACGAAGCTGGACGGTGACAAGCGGAGAGTTAAGTACAACCTCATGTCGGGAACCTCGATGTCGTGCCCTCACGTGGCTGCCACCGCTGCGCTACTGCGGACGATCTACCGGAACTGGAGCTCCGCCGCCATCAGATCCGCCATCATGACCACAGGTTCGACATTCTCTCTTCTCTTCCTCCACCATGCTCTCCTTACTTCGTCAGCGTGAAGTTGCACCACGTCGCGTGTTTTCTTCCGCAGCAACGAGTAGGGACACTCAGGGCTGGCCGCTGCGGAATGCCGCCGGAGAGGTGGCGGGCCCGTTCGAACTGGGCGCTGGCCATGTCCGACCATCGCACGCTTCGGACCCGGGTCTCGTCTACGACGCCGCTTACAGTGATTACCTCCTCTTCGCCTGCGCCAGCAGCGGCGCACAGCTTGACCTATCCACGCCGTGCCCCAAGAACCCGCCGCCACCGGCAGCCCTCAACCATCCCTCCGTCGTGTTCACCACCCTAACCGGAACCGCCGCCACCACGAGGACGGTCACCAACGTTGGGAAGGGAAGGGCGCGCTACCACGTCTCCGTCAACGAGCCCACGGGGGTTTCTGTGTCCGTCACCCCTCGAACCCTCTCCTTCCGCCGCCAAGGAGAGAAGAAGAGCTTCACCGTCGCCGTCAGCGTCCGCAAGAGCGCCGCTATCGTCGCTGGCGAGTACGCCTACGGCTCGTACTCGTGGCTCGATGGAGTGCACCAGGTGACCAGCCCGCTTGTCGTGGGTTTCGCGTGAGGGCCACATCCTCGCTTCACACGTACGTACGTGTTGCGCCATGAAGGTAGATTGATTATGGACTTGGATTGTAGGGTTCAGATTATGAAGAGATTTCCATTATGGGCTTCTTTTTAATGGGCCGAACTTGGAATAAATGGGCCAGGTAAGTGCTGATCTGGTAGCACGTGCACACGGGACTGTGATTCCGCAGGTCTCTGTCAAACGTGGGAATCCTCTTCGTTCAGCCGATGAAGTCCGGTCATTTAATAAGCGTTAAGTGAAGTCCTTCGGGCGAAGCCTGGATGTCACTTCCAAAGACGGGGCCGATCCAGAGAAAAGCCCAAGAAACGGTCTTGAGGACAGACCTCAAGACCCCCACGTCAGCATATGAGAGAGAGAGAGAGAGAGAGAGGTGTACTCACTCATAGATTATAAACCTAATTGAAGCCTAAAACCAGATCCATGAAGAGAGATTTGATTTTTAAGGTTGAATCTGGGAAAAATAAGCTGAGGCGGGCCAGAATGTGGACTTTCCTTGCCCATTGGCTTCATTGATTATTGAAAAATTGGTAGATAAACCCATAGCGCGGTAGTCTACGTGGTGAGGACTCCAAAAACGGCTAAACGGCGATCCTCCACCGACCCGTCCTCATAAACTATGAACTTCATTGTAGCGGGAGAATAAAGAGTCAAGGTTGGTCGCGTCAAACAGGGGGAGAGCCGCCGGCTTCTCTATCTTCCCTCGAGCGAAGAAGAAATGAGATCCCCCGACGACTACCCCTTAGCGAGGAATTCGTCCAAGCGACGGCGGAAGCCCGTTGAGCTGTCTCCACGTCTGAAGGATAACTCCGGGTTAACACGGCTTACGCTTTGACATCAGCGCACACAAAACGAAGGGGCGAGGCCGCGCCGACCCTGGCTGTTCGTCGTCCCTGGGTTTTCCAAGGACTTCACGTGGGAAGGTTTACTCGTCCAGGAGAGACCGACGGAGAAAAAGAGGAGATGAAGAGTGGAGCAGAGGGAGAGGCTACTGGGTCTTGACCGCGTGAAAGCCAATTGATTCAGACAAAATCAGGCTTTTAATGCTCATCAAGTACGCCGGACTTTGGTACCTGCGGCTCGAGATTCATGTCTACATGCGGATGAACAGGAAATTTTATTTTATTCGAATAAAATATGCAAAACCGAGAATCTTATTAAGTAGACGTATTGTATTTGTTGGCAAAATGGCAATGGCGACAGATGCTACATAAATCAAGAAGTTTCAACGTGTGAATATTCGATAAAACCTATAAAGTTTCGACTCCTACTATTGGGCTGATAAATGGGATTTATTGGCTAACTTAGGAAACCATGGTCTGTGGGATAATAACTTTGGTCACAGAAACCATGCATTAGTGTCAACATACAGTCATTCAAATGGCAGAGTGATCATGTGGAAATTATCCATGGCTTAAATTCCCTTGGAATATTTGGTAACTCAAAATACAATTTGGAATATTCCTTCCTTGGTTAGCAATCGCTGTCCTCCCACTCTCCACGAAGATATATGGGACCAACAGAGGATTAATGAGTCGTTCTTAAGAAAATTTGAGTTGCCTCCTCTTTGGATGGATCAATTCATTCTCTCTCACCTCCCAACATGAAAGGAGAGGTAATAAGTATAGAAAATAACCCTCTTACTGATTATTGAGCCATGAATCAATAGAGATAAATCACCAAATGAAAATCCCACAATCTAGGGTAAATATGCCTCATCTAAGTGCAATCTGTCATGAGAATTGGGAATACATCAAAAAGAGTTGACATGACCTAATCATTATATAATCATGCAAACTTAAATTTTATAAAACTAAAAAAATAATATTTTTTAGATTTTTAGAAATATTTCAACACAAAGAAATCAATTATAATTTTCCACAATATTCCAAAAATAATAAGAAAGTTTTTAGTCAATCAAAGAGAATGTAAGACAATATTTCTTAAGCTTTTAGAATTTTTGTCAAAGAATATAATTTTTTATGAGTTTTAAACTAAATGATGAAGATAAAATATGTTTAATAATTTATGAAAAAGAAAATTTAAGTGTAGACATCAAGATGACATTAGCACCTCGACAAATGTGATTCAACAAAAAAAGATTTTCATCTGATGATTCTTACGTAAATGATTACAAATGATTTAATTAATCAAATTAAAATTTGTAAAAGGGTAAAAAATCATAATTGAATTAAGAAGGTTTCAAATTTTGAAATTATGTAAAATATTAGGAAATTAAGTAAAAACTAAGTTTAAAACACAAAAGGTAAAGTTATGGCTTCGCGGTGGCGATTGTCAAGATTTTGTCTTCAAGAGAATTATCGTGCAATGTTGATGGATGCCCCAATTTGGGTTGGACAAACCTTGAGCTATGGATGGGCACCAAGGGGGAAGGGAAGAGACAAGGTGCTGGAACTTCACTGATTCATGAACCCTGAATAAAGAGTGAGGGTCATTAGACTCCAAACAGAGTGAGTGACTTAGGAAAAGAGGATACAAGGTAGAACATAAAGACCTCTTGCAAGAGTTTTTATTAGTTGCCTCTTCGAGATGACAAGTCTCCAAGGTTCTTCTTCTTCTTCTTTGTTGCTTGTTCCTTCTCTTCTTCTAGTTCTTATAAATGAGGGTTGTCGGATTTCTTAGGTCATTATGTTGGAATCTTCATGGTCGCTTAATAGTCCAATCAACCTTGTTAATTGTTAAACAGATCTTAATGGTTGTTCGTAGCTATCACCAGCCATTCAATTGTTTCTTACATAGGCTCTGTATACTTAATTACCTTTTGTGATCGGATTTGAGATCTTAGTCCACATAGATTCCTCATTGAGGCTAAGGGTTCAACAATACTCCCTCCCATTCAACTCACCTTCTCTTCAAGATGAAAGTCTGTAAATTGATGGAGGATTGTGTGAGCTAGTTCCCATGTGTCATTAGCAGCCAATAAATCTCACCAATGAATAAAGACCTCACTTCCATTGGGCCGGTGATGGATGACAACACCTCATTAGGTTGAAGGAACCAAGAGAAGTCTTCTTCTACATGAAGTGGCTCACTAGGCTCGAAGCTATTGATTGCTTGCTTCAACTAACATACAGGAAAGACATAACAAATCTGAGCTATCTTGAGAAGCTTTGGGTGATAGACAACCAAGCTGATTCTTTTTTGGATGTTGAATAGCCCATAAAATCATAGAGATGATTTCTCATATGATAGTCGAGCTACTGAATGCTATCAAGTTGAAGTCAAAGGAAAACTTGGTCTCCAACCTGAAACTCTACATCCCTCCTTCGACGATCAAGTTGCCTTTACATATAGGCTTAGGCTTGTTCTAAGTGATGCTTCAATAGAATGAGGGCTTGATCTCTCTCTCTCTCTCTCTCTCTTGAAGTATTTGATCTAGAAAATCTACCACTAAGGAGTTTGAATGATAATGACGGAGAGTAGGGAGAGTCTCTACTGTAAATTGCCTTGAAAGGCATTGTGTTAATAGAGTCATTGAATGTGGTGTTAAACCAATATTCTGCCCACGTGAGGAGTTGGCTTTACTATGTGGGTTGGTCTCCTACAAAATAGTGCAAATAAGTTTTGAGTCCACAATTTATAACCTTTGACTGACTATCAATCTACAAATGATATGAGCTTGTGTGCTAGAGGGTAGTGCTATATAATTGAAAGAGTTTAATACATAAATTGTTGAGGAAGATCCTATCTCTATCGAATAGTATTGATTATGAAATTCTATGGAGTTGGACCATGTCTTGAATGAATATTTAAGCCACATTTTTACCAAAAATGAATGTTTAAGTAGTGAGAAGTAGGCATATTTGTTGAGCTTGTCTACGACAACTATCACAGTATTAAATCTTTGAGAAGGTGACATTTCTTCTATGAAGTCAAAAGTGATTCTACCTAAAATGGGATGTGGTTGTAGAAGTCCCACCGATAATAAGGTCTCGAACTTATTTTGTTAGCATATTGAACATTTGGCAACGTATTGTCAAATTTGACACTTCATTCCCCGTCCACATAATGTTCTGCTTGATTTTTATATATGTGTGGTGGAAGTGGATGTGGAATGACATCTTCAAAATATCATTCACCTTTACTTAGATCTGGTAATAACTCACTCTAAGATCAAACTTTGAGAAAAAATTTGCACTGTGGAACTTGTGCAAGAGCTCCTCCACCAAAATTTGAGAAGCGATCATAGATTGTAGCTCAATTGAAAGCTCGATAGTTCACACAAAATGTCCAAGAGTCTTCTTTCTTCTGAATCAATAACGTTGGGCTCAATTAGGGGCTCTATGAATGATGTATGATGCTAGTGTTGAACATCTCTTCCACCATCTTTTCAAGCTCCACCATTTTGAAGTATAGGTAACAGAATGGTTGGATGTTGATGGGCACCAACCCTCGGTGTAGGTTGATCTAATGGTCCACCTCACATTGTGGTGGCAGGCAGTGAAGATCAATAACACCTTTGAAAATATTTATGTAGTCATTCCTCCCCTAAGTTAGGTTAAGACTCAGTTCAATCAGGGATAACTAGAAAAGTTCGAAGTAGAAATCAAAAGGCTTTACTTGACTCGACAAACATTTGAGCATGATTTCTACCGATTCTTCTATTTGTTCCACCTTGAGGACCACTTATTTTATTCCCAAGCAAAAGGAGAAGGTACCTACATTGAAGTCCATGTCAAACTGACTTTTTACCCACTGCTCTTGAATATGTGAGATTTAATTTCTTCCTCTTATCTGCAATACTGTTGTCCACCACTCTTGAGTTGGCTAGTGAGGCCCCTAGTACCTAGGCTTCTTCCTATCGGTGGGTGTTATATGAATTTATCACTCGTGTCCATCAGAGTTCTAGGCCAAGTATTAACTCCTCTAAGGTGATGGGATCACTGGATTCAATCAAGAATTTTTCACTCAAGTAAGTCAGCTTAATTCAATAAAAGATGGTAAACTAGAGGTTCAAC